TAGTATTTATGATAGTGTTCATGATATTTTACTAAACACTACCTCACCAATACTTCATAATTACCTCATACTACTCGTAATGTGACAACTCTAAAGTACTGTCGTTTTCTACTTCTCGTCAGCAAGTTGTTGGGGAATGGAGCATTGCAAGGGGGAGTTTCAGTGCCACAACTCTTCATCTTCACAAGACAAGTCTGGTACTCCGCTTTGAACAGTTAAGAAATTGCTAACGAAGCTGTCACGAACATCACAAATCCAGCTCGCCGTAAGAACCCCAACCAAACTCGCTACATAACCCAATTCCAAATTACCGATCGTCGTAACAAACTCACAAATACGTAGTACAGTCTGATNAATTCGTCGATTCATCAAACTCACTGCATATACCGATCAAAATCTTCCGAATTTCCACTGATAATCGTCACACATCGCAAACTTTTGGACTCACCGAACTCACTGCAGAAAAATTGTAAAATTCCAATCAAATTCGCTGCAAAAACTAATTAATAACTACTACGTCATAATAATCTTCCTTCACCACACAGCACACGCCCCTAGGACCACCAAACATAGGAATATTTTCATTCCAAGACCATTAGTAAACTTTCTATCCACCAGGACAACATAACTAGCTCCATCCCAAGCTACTAGACCACAACAACTAATCAACCCATCACTCATCCCATCTACGAACCAGTCACTCCTCAAATCAATGACATTCTCCGTTCACTCGCCGCGATCATCCAGCCACTCCAAATTACGGTGATGTCTGATTGTGCGTTCACTCGTTCCGATCATCGCAAGCCTCCGAATTACAGCGGCTCAATATACTGGATCTTAGTGCTGTCATCTGACCCTACTCAATATCAACAAAATGGATTAATGAGAAAGACTATCAAAAAACGTGAACGAATAACAGAAACGGCATGCCACAATAAATCTCATAAACCGATGGCATAGCTTGTTTCAACTGAATCACTCCTCTTCATCATGATAACCAATTTCTTCTCAAATAATCACTCGAACTACAGTAATCTGCAACCAGTCGTCATTTGAATGCCAGTATGTTCCATACTTGTTAGATCATATGCACACGATGATATTTATTTATTCGTCCATTCACTTTCGTATTGTTCAATTATTAACCTATTCGACAGCATTATGTTATTTATGCACCAAAATCAGAGATTATATCTTATATAAGTGATCGGAATGTCATTCTCTAAAAAATTGATTTCCAACGAATGAATTGAATTCTTGAGGAACCTCATTCGGCTGACTTATCAGAGCCTTCGAGATAAGGATCTTCATGATTAATAGTATTAATAGTAATAGCATAATAATGATTAAGAAGGACGAGATTCTAGTTTGAACATATACTTGGATTGGATTAAGAAATGTTTTGAATATTGTTTATACATCATTCGAATTTATGCATCTAAAACATACATCATTCGAATTTGAATTCATTCTTGCGATAGTGATATTCTCACAGATCGATCTGAACTGCTATTATGCTCCGTCGATAAAGTTGCTGAATATGATTCTGTTTAGCTGTAATATCATGTAAGTATTCGTGCAACTGTCTATGGTTTAATTATTATCACTTACCAATATTTTGTTCAAATATTTGATGAAACCACAAATCTGGAACAATATTGATGCATTTTGGTTCATCTGCGAATGAAACGAAACAGCTGTTCTACTTACAGTTCGCTGTCGTTGTTCGTCGCTATTTATCGTTATGTGTTGCTA